CCATGGAGAGCCCCTGGAGAGTTGTTCGACCTTCAGAAAACTTCATGTGAGTGAGAAATGAACTTTGCAGACTAAGCCACTGAGATCTGGAGACAGTCATTTATCTCCTCTGGAAGGACTGAACTCATTTGAGGCAATTAGGTCGACTCTGACTGTGTCTTCATCTATCTCGACCTTCTCAGTTAGACCTATTGAGGCCGGATAATATTTTGTTATATTAATTGATGTGCCTTTTGTTCGAGGACTTTCCTTTTTATCCTCATCCAAGCTAGACTGAGAGGCCATCACTCCTCGGAGAAGAGTTGTAATCATAAAAATGTGGAGACTAAGCTTTTTTGAATTTCAACACACTAGACACGTGTCTAAAGCCCAGAAAGAGAGGACACAGTGGTTATGTTATAACTGATTTATTGGGAGTGATGGAGGAAGGGCTCGGTTAGCTCCATCTCTGGCTATTTTAGGTCCCCCAGTCTAGTGATGGTGAAGATAAGGAAGTAGGAAGGGACTCCAGGGCTCCAGGAAGAAGTTCAAGTCCCAATCTGGTGCCCCAGAATGTGTATGACAGTAGCAGGTGACATAAGCTCTCGAAGTCACAGTTGGCTGAAAAGCAGAACATGAGGGCAACTCTGATAATTCTCAAGATGCTCCCTGTTGGCAATGGGACCAGCTGTGTTCAACAGCGACACTGCAGTGGTGGAGAACATGACCGCTACATGGCCCAGAGCAGCTGACTAACTGTGCCTACTGGTGGTCGAGATGGGGCTGGTGGCTCTGAGGGGCCGTAGCTTCCATTTTAGCTCACGGCTACCATCTTGGGTGGTGCTGTTCTAACCCAAACTCCCCACCCAGATGTCTTCATTCTACATCTAGCTCCAAATTTTAGACACAGAATGATGAGTTGACAAAGGAACCATGAATTGACTGAAATTGTTGCTTCCAGTTAACAGAAAAACAAAAGAGAGAAATGCATTTGGTTTGAAAAATAAGTTTTCACAACACAGAGTACTAACCACTATGACCACAGCCAGTGAAATAAGCCAGAAAGAAAAAGAAAAATATGGGATTGTTTCACTTAGAGCAGAAGTGTAAGGGATCAGGGGAAAAAAAAAAAGGCAATTATAATACAGTGAAAATGAAAAACAACAAGCAATTATAAACCAGGGACATTTTACGGGCATGAAGATGGAAAAGGATCAAAACTGGGCGGGAAGAACACACGGGATTATGGCGATGGCGCACGGGTGAGTTGGTGCTGGGCAGCCCACAGGGGTTACAACTGAGATGGAAAAATGCACAAAATGAAGAACGACGTAAAATAAATAAATAAATAAATGTAATAAGAATAATTTAAAAAGTCCATTATCTCAAAAAAAAAGAAAAGAAAAGAAAAGAAAAGAAAAAGAATTTTCACATGTGGATGCGAATCTTCTGCAGCACCTTAAGATAAAGCCCTGCTTCCTTCCAAGAATGATCTGGAGCTTTATCCCTCCGCAGCAGGCTTCTTACTGCTGCAGCAGGCTTCACACCAGCCAGGAAATCTGGTTGGGAGGCTGAGGAGGGGTCATGAAGGACGGGTCACCCCTGGGCACAGCCCGAGGCTTCATCCACCCTCAAGCTCCGGCCTGGAGTCCCAGCTCACCACACCAGGTGCCCGGAGGGATCTGGCTCCCCGACTTAACTGTTGTCTTCCTCTTTCTGCATTTTAATCTCCCTTTCATTGGCTCTTCCCCTTACGAGGCATCTGAGACAGAGAGTAATTGTCTGCCATGAGTCACTCTTCCAGGAAAGGGAGAAAGACAAGGGGCAAGGGAAGGAGATGTGTGCATGAGTGTTTTGATGCTTCTGAGCTGGATTCCTGGGGTTCCCGGGCTGCCCCTCCCGGCCGCCATGGGAGCCTGTCTTTCAGCAAGGAGCCACATTAGCGCGGCAGGAAAAGGGCCTCCTCCCACGCACCCCGCCCCGGGTTCTGTGATGCTGGACTTGGCACAGGCTTCCCTTCTGCCAGCCATCATCTTCTCAAGTTCTCTCCTCCTCCAGGAAGTCCTCCAGTCTCGGGGCAGAGCAACCCAGCAGGCCCATTCTGCTCCTGCTTGAATTTGTGGTAGAAAACACAGCACTCACTTCTCTTATCTACCAAATACATTAGGTCCTTGGATTTGTCCCTTGCACACGATGAACGCTCCCAGAGAGGACCGGCCCTCAGGTGCTCGGTGGAGCAGGCCCCTCAGTGAGCGGAGCACACGTGGTTTCTCTTGTCCGCACACTCCTGAGGGAGTTTGTACATTTGCAGTGCTGTTCTCTGCCTTTGCATGCCAATCCCTCCCCACCTCACACAAGAGAACATCCATAGCTGAAAAATACAGCCCAAGGACTTTTGAACATGCTCATCAGAAAAGAGTGTTGGAACCAGTTAGGATTCGACACCAGGAGACTCTTTGGGTTGTACCCTGCTGCCTGTGCTGACTCTGACTGCTCACCTTTCCTGCCTCTGGAGAATGTAGATCAGGCTAATGAGAGATACCTGCATACGATAGCCTCAATAAAGCTGAGACGAAGAAGGAAAGGAAGGATGGGTGATAGTATCACATAGTATCACATGCGGAACATTTAACCCCCCTCAAATTCAAAGAATTGATGCCATAAACAGACTCTAGTATCTCGTAACAATCGTGCATTATTTGCAACAGACCTTATAAGGCTGTGCCTCAGAAAGTAGAAGCCTATAAAAAAAGGAGGAAAGACAAGAAATAACTCTTCCTAGGTTATGAAGGCCTTGAAGCCTGAAGTGGATTTTTATCACTTATTCTTTCCCCGAGCCAACTAGAGTCCATGGCACAACGCAGCTTCTTCACCCATGCTTATTACACCGAAAATCATTCCAGAAGTTGTGTCATTCACTGAGGTCGATGAGGGGAGATTCTCTCCTGAATCAGAACCGGAGAGAGGGGAGTGCTGTCCCCATTTAAAGATAAGGAGACCAGGATGTTGGGAGGTTCCTACACTCGCTCTCTGTTTTCAGACTTGTGTTTAAGGAGATGAACTGGACCCCCGTCCCGGCCTGACCGCTGTATTTCCACTGTACCTCGAACTTCCCTGGGTTTGGCATAGGGCAGTCATACTAGCCTTCTGAGGGCGGTGTGCTCCCCTGTGCCCCGCAGGTAATTGAGTGTTTTCAGGAGGAAATGACCACAGGTAGAATCACAAAACCTGACCCCTCTGCGGCAGGGTCTTTGTTGACACCTGTTTTTATCCAAATGGATCATAAATTTACCCAAAGACATGAACCATGCGTCTACCCAAAGGTGTGGCTCTCACAAAATGCTTGTTTTTTTTTTAAAGATTTATTTATTCATACAGAACTGGGGTACAGGCCAGAGATGCGGAGGGTGAGAGGATTCACCAGAGACAGAGCGGGGAGCAGAACAGGCAGATCAACGAAGTGCACTGCTGAGGGGAGCAGCGGGCGGGTCAGGAGAGGTCTGCCGCGCCATGTGGATCTCCTCTGGGGCAGGCGGGGATCGAACTCATGCGAAAGTGGCTTTAGCTTCTTACTGCTGTGTTTTAACCCTCTGCGCCACCAGGGAGGGCCACTTAATTGTTTTTTACTGGTGTTCCTTGCTCTCTTACTACCATGACTCCTTTGATGTATTTAATCGGCATGTTGATATGTTAAATGCCCTGAATGAAAACAGTCAAATGAAGAAAGTAAAATGAGCTAAAGAGCAGAAGTGTTGATACCCATGAAACAGGCTAATTTCGTCACTTTGGGGGATCTGGCCTGCAAGCTGTGTAGAGCAAATGCTCTTGCCCCCTGCCCCCAAGGAGCAAATGTCTACACAGGGGAAGCTGCTGATACAAATATAGATATGCTCCATCGACCTGCTTATTGTCTTTTAAAAATACAGAAATATATGGGGTAGAATAATAACATCTTGGTCTCTCAGTTGCCTTCCCGACCCTTTCTGAAAAAAAGAAAACAAAACAAACTGTGACCGTTACTTATCGATATTCTTCTCGACGGTTATTAATACCTGCTGGATATGGCACCAGAATCTTCATATGCTCTCTCCATTCTTTTAAAATGAATCTGAAGTATGCCTCCTATAGAATATCTATACATGTGTGAGAGCATACACATATGTGGACACGTGTTATCCACAGACACACGTGCATAAGCAGGAGAGTCCTTGCATAAACGAACACACACACCCACCTGACAGGCATATAGACTATTTCTGTTACAAACTTTGCCACAATATGCATCCTGTAAACATCTCTTTTTACAGTTGTTTGATTATTCCTTTAGGCAAAGTTCCTGGTCATAGAATCACAAGGTTGCATTTTATTAATTTTAATAAAAAAAATTCAATCTCTACCTTTGTGTAGCTCAGAAGAGATAAACCACACACCCTTGCTTAAAATGTTTCTATCCTGATGTTTACACTGACTGAGAAACCCGTTCCCAGTTCCCCCACCGGAGAAAACACAAAATGCAATCACTGGCCGCCTGGCATATAGGAAGCACTCGAAAAATGTTAGTTGTAAATACAAACGAGTGATTGTCAGAATGTGATGGAACTCCTTGTTCTCTTTACTGCAAATTAACTCTGGGGGAGGACTCACCAGGCAGCCTGGCTCAGCGGAAGCCAGAGATAAACGGGATCCCATCCATCACAGCCCCACCCTGCCCAGGGGCTGTTGGTGCGGGATACCCACCCATCCCCAAGCAGGGGCATCCATCAAACGCCTGGCAGAGTTTATCTTTAATGTCCCACAGCAGCAGCAGCAGCGAGGGCCCAGGGCTGGATGAGAGGCCCTGGGCTTACATCTGTGGGTGCGGGGGCGGGGTGTGTGGGTGGCAAGCCTGAGATGGATCCAGCTTGATTTTCCCAGCAGTCACCAAGGAAATGCACCAAACACAGCCCTCAGGATGTCACGGCCTCTCACAGGCCATCCAAGACTCTTCTCTTCTCTAGGTTTTTCTACCCCATTATTTCAGATCCAGAGAGAACAGTCAACTCTTGCCCGAGCCAGACAGGAAGACCGGTATCTCTGAGTCCTTCGCCTCCCCTTGGGCTTTCTGTCTATGGACCGGAGCTACAACAGCACCTGCAGCCCAGACTTTAGATTCTGCAACCCTTCAGCCCCAAATGCAACAGCCCTGTGTTCATTTGAATGAGCTGCATGCTGACGAATTACCCCAAGATCTGGTCTTAGGAGCCAACAGTGGTTTGATGGGGTCGCCCTTCCCAGAAAAGAGGTACTTACTTGTTCTGCTAGTCCCTTAGCGAGGGGACATTCATCTGTCTGGAAGGACTGGCGGAAGGCAAATTTCAGATAAGAAACAGACCTGAGTACCCCTTACCTCCCACAGTGTACCTCCCATCATCCTTTATCCCCCCAGTCAGTGACCCTGGTCGAGAGCTTTCCAAATCCTCTCAGGTGCGAAGGTCCTTGTTAATATTCTGTTCCTGCTATAATGTCAGGCAAAGGTTATCTCATCTGTCCTGGAATCAACATAAAAAAATAATGTCCCGATGAACTCAGGGTGGTGTCCAGAGAAGGGGGGTGAGCGTCAGTCATGGAGATACGTCTTACGCACCTGTGCCAGCTCTCTGGTCCGTGTGATGGGCACAGGCAGGTGGCCGAGTAGGGGAGGACAGTGAGGCTGGACCACAGCGCTGAGCTGTTGACTGGGAGCCTTCGGCAAATCCTTCCAAAGTATATCTGAGCCTCGGTTTCCTTTTTTCTAGATTTGTTTGGTCACTGATGGGGGGAGCTCGCAGGAGAAAATGAATGTGAAGTAGCGTGGTTAGCATAAAATGATTGCAATGTCATCATTTTATCATTCTCGGTATTATTGTTGTATTATTGATTCCCATACCAGTGAGATTACGTTTGGCCAATGTCAGAGCTCAAGGAAATCCCCCTGTGCTATCCTCCAGGTTCCTCTAGGCTATCAAATAATCCAACAAGCATCAGACAGGATGGGGAAAGATAAAAGAAATGTAAAAACGTAATAAAACATGGATCCTCCTGTGGGCAGCCTGCGTAAAAGAAGTTGAGAGCTGCTGGGGTCAGTTGCCCCAAGGCCGAGCCACCGTGGGGCATGGGTGGTGAGCTCTGTCCAAACAACCTGGCCACCACCTGGCCAGAGGCACCTTGGAGACAAAAGGTGCAGGATTCTAACCTCTGACTATCTCCCGGTTTCTGAGCGGTGTGTCTGAGAGCTGCGTGCACAGTGGGATGATACCCACGGGATGTGGCCTGAGCAGAGCCCAGCCCAGAAGAGACCGTGATGCTGCTCACCTCCGCCACCTCACGGAATGGCCCTCTAATATCTCCTCCTGCGCCTCCCTGGGGCCGCAGGGGCTCAGTCTAAGCACTCTGAAGCTGTCCACAGCCACTGCAGCACCAGTTCAATCCCCGGCCAGGGAGGTGACCCACATGGCGCAGCAGACCTCTCCTGTCTCCCCTCTGCCCCCCTCAGCAGCGTCCTTCGTCCATCTGCCTGTTCTGCTCCCCGCTCTGTCTCTGGGGGATCCTCTCACCCCCTGCACCTCTGGCTTATGCCCCACCTCTTGTATGCATAAATAAATAAAAATATATTTTTCCAAAAATAAATAACTCTCTCCTCCTAACCCGCCTTGAGGAGCCAGACTAAGCCCTTTCCAGCACTTGTCCCCTCACGCATGCATCTCTAATTAAGCCTTGCCTGGTTCAACTACACCTACACTCTCCAGTGAGTTCTTTCCCAGAGGCCAAAGGACCCACTCTCCTGGGTCGGGGCCCATAACCCCTGAGTATAGGGAAGAGGGTCAGCATGACTGAGGAACTCGCCGTGTTTCTTTGGATGGCATCTTAAACAGCTGGGCTAAAGGAGGGAGGTCGGGGAGAGAAAGTGAGTCAGTCAGAGAGACAACTGGGAAAAACAGAAAGGAAGATAAGAGGGCTTGGCCTTCCTGCAGTAGAGCGCACTGCAAGGACATTTGTGCATAAACATCTGAAGCTGCCTTGACCCAACCTTCAGATTTTTGCCCCCTGCTCCTACATCAAGACCATGTTGGCGAATCAGCATGGAGGACTTAATTCTGTGAGGACCCAGGGAGCTGCAGGAAGTGTAGACGAGTGAGAACCACCTCAAGGTGAGATGAACGTCGGGACAGGCTGTCTCCCCAGGCCTTTAAGTGACCTTTAAGGAAATCTCACATCGGAGGTGCTCATGAGTTATTCCTTCATTAAGCCATTGAGCCTCTCAGCAGCCCAATAAGGCAGGCAAGCTCCTTCTCCCCGTTTTACAGGTAGGACAGAGGCTCTGAGGTGGCAGACTTGACCTGGGTCCCCCCAGGAGGCGACTGGTCTGTGGAGATGACGTGTGTCCCCCGCACCACACAGGGCACCCCTCACACCCTGGCACAAAGGCTTTGTGCCACCCCCGGAATTGAGACCAGACTCACTTTTGACTCCCCGGAGGCTCCTGCTTCCAGGGTGCGTGATCTCTGCCTCCCCGCTGGTGCAGAAGTGGGATGCGCTTCTGGTCCTGAGCGAATGAATGAGCTCATCTTACAGGGCTTCGATTTCCTTCCTAGCTCTGTCCCAGAGAGAGTTCACGCAGTTTCTTCCCATCAGTCTTGGAGAATTGCAACTTTAAGCAGAGCTGACACTATAGAAACAATAATTGGCATAATATTCGCAAGGAGCAAAAGACGGTCATTTCCTCAGGCACCAAAAAAGCATAACCCAGTTCTGAGGTTCCCAGAAAAAGCCTGCACCCGCTGTAACTCACACACAGCCTCATCACTCTCCTCTGAGAGCTATAATTCTCCACATGAAAGCAGGCATAACTCTTAACTATTATTTTCGATGACATCCCCTTTTTAACTTTAAGCAGTGTTCTTTAAACATTTCTAAACTTTCCCAATTCCTCCCCAATACCTTGCTATGAATTTGCTTGTCACCGTAAGCTGTACACAAAGAGAACAAGCACAAAGATATCAGGAAGTGGTTTTCCTAGCAACAGTAATCATCCCAAAGATCCCAGAACATCCTTTCTATTCATACGGCATTTCGTGTTTTGAATAGTGCTGACAGGTGAAGTGGATTCATAGTATTTAATACAAAAAAAAAACATTGCTAGGGATGGGACTGCACAAAAGCTCAACTATCCTTACTATTCACGAGCCGTTGAATTCACTGTTTTTGTATCTATCCAGATTATTTAGTGAGGCACAATTGCAAAAGCAAATACTCACCTGCTCCCAGAATGACTAATCCAGGGTGCATTATGAAGAGTCCGATTCCCCAGGCCTCATTCATGCAACTGGACACGGCCTAAGTGGAGCCAAGCTCTTGCTATGCAAGACCCTCTTGAAAAATAAAGAGGCCTCCCCCTCACGGGGCCCTGGGCAGGTATGTTCAGTTTAAAATAAAAATGAGTCAGTACAGTTGGCAAAATCATCCACCCCCCAAGGAACTCTGGTCACTGCCTAACTCTGAGAAACAGTCTCCTCTTGCTGCTTCTGTCCTCTCCCAAGTAACACCCCAAACAGATTCAGCCCTGAAGGTTACAAAAGAAAGAAAAAAAAAAACAAACGAACAAAAGCCCTCAAGTTTCATCAGACAGGGAGGAGGAGGAAGAGGCGGGGCAGAGAGGAACTTCAGGCTTGCAAGAGAGGCTCAGGAGAAGGTGAATGATTGATTGTGCTCACCAGACTCTGCCTGTGCCGGGCTGCAGGCCTTGAGGAGAGAAGGCTGCATGACCTTGGGATCCAGGTGGAATGCTCTAGAGTTTGCTACAGCCATTATGGGTGCTGTTACGTTAGGGTAGCCGGGTCCTGCCTGCAGGCAGGGGTGCCCTGTAAAGCTCCAGGCTCCATGCCCGTGCCCAAGTTCTCACAACTCCCAGCATGCCATAAAGTCATGAACTGGGCTTCCTTAACAAGACACAAGGAGGGGTTCACGGGGTGGGGACCAAGCTGAGTGGCTGTGTCGGGTGGCTTTGTTCTCTTGCTCCCCTGGTTTCAGCATGCAGCCAAGGTCACGGCTATGATGCAGAGTGGTTTGGAGTAACTTGAAAATAGCCTGGATTTGAATGCTATCTGTGGGGTTGAAAGCGAAGTTATAAAATATGGCAGTCACACTTACCTGATGAGGCTGTTGGACAGATTGATTACCACCATATCCTTAATGCATCCGAAGCACTTAGTGGAACTGCAGTTCTCAGGGGGTTGCACTCAGAAGTCTGAAACTGAAAACTACAGTGGTCTACATTTCACACCCTGAACACTGGCAACATTTAAAAAGTCTGGTCATATCAAATAGGGGCGATTGTGCTATAGTAGCGCTTCTTCCATGTTGCGGGGGTGTGTCAACGCCGCAAGCATTTTGGGCAGAATTTGGCTTTATCAGATGCAGTTTAAGATGCACATTTTCTATAGCCTAGAAACGCCACTGTAGCGTGCATTCATTAGAGAAATTCTCAGACGTGTGCCCAAGGAGATCTATGCGGACATGGCTGTGCTTTGCCTGTAATACTGAGGAAACCGAGCTCCCGCATGGCCACAGAGAGCCGAGTTAACGAAAGATACAAGCAACGAGCATCAAAAGTGGGGGGTCCAGGTGGCATTTCTCAATGTGGCTACATCTCTGAGCTGTAGAGTGTGGCACCCTTTAAAAAATGTTTAACATGGGTGAAATAAACTCATATTTTGTATATAGAACAATGAAGACACTTCACGTGAATTTTGGACAGAAGAGTCCACTCTGGATACTGAGCTAAAAGAATGGGGAGCGTAGGTAGATCCTGGCCCATCGTCTGTAGGCTGGCAGGCACCGGTCGTGTGCAAAGAGAGTTGGGTTGGTGCATGGAGGCTGCTACTTTCTGAGTATTAGAAAATGTTTTAAATGTGTGACTTGTACGAAATAAATGAGGAAGTTGTGTGAAAGTGAAATAATTAGCTAACAAAGATACAGGTTATGCTCTGATGTAATAACGATTGGGCCAGGGTGGCATCTAATAAGATTGGGAAATATTTGGTCTTTAAACAACTCATCCTTCAAAGCAACCACATTCCAAGTTCACTGCTCTTCCTCCCTCCAACAAAGGCCGTTGTCAAACAAATCCATGGACAGATAGAACAAGCATGCATCGCTGTCAGCCACTGGCTGTCCTTCTGGCCAGCTCCACAGGCCATGGAGAGCAGGAAGTCAGAGGCTCCACTTCTCTGATCCAGGCAGTAAAGCTGAGTGTGTCTGCAGGGCCCTGAACCTTGGTTCTCTTCCAAGAGGGGCAGGGTGGGGGGTGGGGGTGGGGGACAAATGCCAGGGGACATTGTGTCTTTTGGATTATTTAAGCACATATTCACATGTGCCCCTATTTTCTCAGTGACTGATGAAAAGACAGCCACTTTTACAGCTTCTGACATGTGCACCATCGTACCCATCTGGGTGTGTTTGAGAGTTAGTCCACATGCCTCTTGTGTGAATCTGCCCCATGGACCAGGTAAAGGGGTTGCCGGAGGATGAACGGCAAAGGGAGCAGCTCACAGAACAGCTCGAGCAGCCATGAGAGCGAGAGAAAGAACAGAGGTGGTTGTTCCTTTGCAGGAAAGGAGAAAGTTAAATTCACTTCAGTTTTTTAATTGCTGTACAACTGATCTATATTATTTTCACTTCAAGTGTTCAAGATAACGATTGCACATGTGTATACATTGTGAGTGCATCATCATAATGATTCGGTTCAACATCTTATCTCAGCGATTGTTGCACCGTGTGATGACGATGGAGTTCATGCTGGGCATCCCCGCTCCTGACCCCTCAGGAGTAACTCTCCGTCTGGATTCGAGCCACTCACTCCACTCCCCCACCCCCACCCCATCTCACCTCCTTTCCGACAACCACCAGTATCTTTTCTTCTCTGTGATTTTAGTTTAGTTTGGCTTGCTTAGTTGGGATCTTTTGTAGTGCTATAAAGGTTTCCGTGTTATTTGTCTATTCCTGTGAAAAACTGGGTTATTTATAGAGATTGCTCTGAATCTATAGGTGGCCCTGGACTTGCAGACATTTTAACAATCTTTAGTATGGGATAACTTTCCATTACCTTTGTCCCATTTCCTTCAGTATTGTCTGACTGTTTTCATTGTACAAATCATTGGTTAAGTTCTTGTATTTTTTATTCCTTTTGATGTGATTGTACAGGGTCTTTTTTATTTTTTTTTTAACTTTTTTCCTGATAGTTCGTTGTTGGTGTATAAAAATACAACTGATTTTTGTCTATTGGTTTTGCATCCTCAACTTTTCTGAACTCACTTATTGGTCTTAACAATTTTAGGTTGGAGTCTTTAGCATTCTAAATATGTACAGTCATGTCCTCTGTAAAAAAGGTGACAGTTTTACTTCTTCTTTTCCAAATTGGATGCCTTATTTCTTTTTCTTGTTTATTTGACTGACTAGAGTTTCCAGTACTCTGTTGAATAAAAGTAGCAAGACTGGGCATCCTTGTCTTGTTCCTGATTTTAGAGAAAAGTTGTTCAGCTTTTCACCATTGAGAATGCTAGCTGTGAGTTTACCATGTTGAGTTATACTCTTTCTGTATCCACTGTGTTGAAGTGTTTTTTTTTTTTTTCCAGAAATGGATGTTGAACTTTGTCAAACGCTTTATCTACATTTACTGAGATGACCATATGATTTTAATTCTTCATTTTGTTGACGTAATGTATCAGGTTGTTTTGTGAATGTTGAGCCATCCTTGCATTCTTGAAATGAATCCCACTTAATCATGCTGTGATCCTTTTAAAGTATTGTTGAATTTGGTTTGCCAATATTTTGGTGAAATTGTATGTCTGTGTTCATCAGGGACATAAAACTGAACTTTTTTGTAGAGTGCTTTCCTGGCTTTGTTATGACAGTGCTGCTAACTGCATAAGACAAGTTTGAGAGTGTTCCCTCCTCTTCAAACTTCTGGAAGAGCTTGAGAAGTGTGGGTAGTAATTCTTCTTCAGTATTTGGCATAATTCTCCAGTATTGCTCTCTGGTCCTGAATATTTATGCATGGAGAGGTTTGTGATTACTGATTCGATCTCTCATAGGCAATTGGTCTATAGAGATTGTCCATTACTTTCTAATTCAATCTTAGAAGGTCACATGATTCTAGCTTGTCCAAGCTTGTATAAAAAATGGTTATGGCAGTCACTTAGACCCTTTGTACTTAGGTTGGATAATTCAAAATTCCTCCTGTTCTATTTCTGGAGAGTCTAGCTAAAGTTTTGTTAATTTTATCATTTTCAAAGAAGCATTGTTTCATCTCAATGATCTTTTCTACATCAATTTTGTCTCCAATTTATTTTCACTCTGAAATTTCCTTCTACGTACTTTGGGCTTCATTTTTTCCTCTTCTTGTTACTTTTTTAGTTCTAGGTATAACACTGCTGTTTAGTTGAGATTTTTCTTGTTTCTTGTGGTAGTTTATATATAACTCTAAAGTCCCTCCTGAGAACCATTTTTGCTACATCTTATAGATTTTGGTATGTCAGATTTCTATTTTTTTAATCCCAAAGTATTTTTTTTATTTCTTCATTGATATAGTAGTTTGTTTGTAGCATTTTGTTTTATCTCCACATATACTTTTTTTTTTTCATTTTTTTTCTTGTAATTGATTTCTGTTGTATTCCATTGTGGTCAAAAAAGATACTTGCTGGCATGTCAATATTCTTAAATTTATTAAAATTATTATTGAGAAATAAATCCTGGTCAATTCTGGAATATCCTCTACGCACACTTGAGAAAAGTGTGCTCAGCTTCTTTGGGCTGGTATGTGCTGCATATATCCATTGAGTCCATCTGATCTAATTTGTCATCTATGCTGATGTTCCTTTATTGAGTATCTGTCTAGATGATCTGTCTATAGATGTAAGTGGGATAACAGAAAATTTCTGTTTGCTTGGAATATCTTTTTTTATTCCTTCACTTTCAGTATGTATTTGTGTTTCTATCTGAAGTTTCTCTCTTATAAGCAATGTTTTATTCTCTTAACCGCTCTATATCTTTCATTTGGAGAATTTAATCCATTTATATTTTAAGTGCACATATTGCCCCTTTGTTGACTTCTTCCTGACATGTCGGTAGTCTGCTCTGTTCCTTTGTTCCTTTCTTGCTCTCTGCCCTGTGGTTTGATAACTTTCTTTCGTGCCATGTTTAGAGTTCTTTCTCATTTTTTCCTGTGTTCCTGCTATAATTCTTTTGCTTTGTAGTTACCATAAAGTTCACATGTAAGAGTCGCTGAATATATCATTCTATTTTAAGTTGATACTAACTTTCTTTTAGTATTATCCCAAGAGGAGGTGGAGAGAGAGAGAAAATTTCCTAAAGGGCAAGAGCTCAGATGCTCTCACCCCAGCACAAAGGTAGCAATTTGGAAATCACTTAAGTCACATAGAAAGGGACTCTTCAGCTGTTGCATAGCCACACTTTTCCTTAACCTTAAAGGCATGATTGTCTTTTCAGAGTTCAC